GCAATTCAAGATGGCAACTTAAATCCCTTTAAACAAGGAATTATTTGAATCTGGAATAATTTTGAATTCTGGAAAATTGATTAGAAATGTATGATGAAAACTAACCCAAGTAAATAGGGTTAGCCATGCATGCATGGCTAAGGTTAATTTTACTTTCACTATCATTTCAGTATGAACTAACTAAGCCACCTTAGCCATGCGCGCATGGCTAACCCTATTTAGTTGGGTTAGTTTTCATCATATATTTCTCATCAATTTTCCAGAATTCAAAATTATTCCAGATTCAAATAATTCCTTGTTTTTAGGATTTTTCAGTATACGGATATGGATAGTAAACTGCACATTGCTAGAAAACAAAGAAATAGTGATGTCAATGTCAAATACGTTAATAAAGTAATACAAATAGACAGGAAATACTAAATAAAAATTAAAAAAACATTGATTAACAAAATTTTAATCTGCTAACCCAGTCCCTGTGGTAGTAACAACATAATAATTTTTCCTATCTGACATACACCTTATCGCTATTCCCGGCTGACACGAGAATCTGTCCCGCTTGAACTATTGACGTCATACAACAATCACTTTTCCATTGTGGCGTCAGATATTTTGTATTATGACGTCAAAATTTTACGGGAACCTGTGTGATGTCCAGTAATGGTGGACAAATAGCGATAAGGTGTATTGTATCAAGTATTTGAGGTGTGGTAACTCATTTTGACTTTTGTGGGAATCTATATAAAAAAATTGCTCCTTACTCAAATTTCCAAAAGGAAATTTATGTTATACATCAGTCAGGGGTACTACCTAAACAAGTGATTTCATTATCACGTATTTCAGTGATTTGATAAATTCATTTATCACCTATTTAAGTGATTTTGGTGTTTCCTTTGATCTTCAAATGCTAATTTCATTGATTTTTCCATATTTTCACAAACTTTTCTATAATTTTCCTACATAGATCAATTATCCCTTTTTGTCGAGCCTTCGACTTTTGTCGAAAAAGCGAGACATAGCGATCCTACATTCCATCGTCGGCTGTGTCCACAAATATTCACTCTGCAGTTAGAGTTTTTGAAATTTTAATAACTTTCTTAAACTATCCTGGATTTCTACCAAACTTGGACAGAAGCTTGTTTATGATCATAAGATTGTATCCAGAAGTAAATTTTGTAAAAAAATAAATACTGTTTTCCGTATTTTACTTATAAATGGACTTAGTTTTTCTGCTAGGAAACATTACATTCACTCTGTGGTTAAAAGTTTTTGAAATTTTAATAACTTTAACCAACTATCCTGGATTTCTACCAAACTTGGACAGAAGCTTGTTTATGATCATTAGATAGTATCCAGAATTAAATTTTGTAAAAAAATAAATCCTGTTTACCGTATTTTACTTATAAATGGACTTAGTTTTTCTGCTAGGAAACATTACATTCACTCTGTGTTTAAACATGTTAAAGTTTTTAAAATTTTAATAACTTTCTTAAACTATCCTGGATTTGTACCAAACTTGGTCAGAAGCTTGTTTATGATCAAAAGCTAGTATATATCTAGAAGGAAATTTTGTTAAAATTTTGTACATTTTACCTGTTTATCCGTATTTTACTTATAAATGGAGTTAGTTTTTCTTCCAGTTAACATTACATACAGTCTGCAGTTAAAGATTTAAAACATTTATTAGATTCATAAACTATCGTGGATTTTTACCATACTTGGACAGAAGCTTCTTACAATCAAAAGATAGTATCGAAAGGAATATTGTTATTATCTTTTTTCCTCATTTTTGTTAAGCCTGCGATTAACAGCAAAAGTTGGCGAGACACTGGGTTCCGCGGAACTCTTACGAATTTTTCTTTGTATATTAATTTCACCAGTGCGCTTGGGCAGTAAGTTAGTGCGCTAAAGCTTTTAAAAGTACCCTTGGGAATTTTTCTGTAATCAAATATTTATTAACTACTCTTACTATCAGTCAAAGGTCAACAATATTAGGTAACCTGATTGGTTTTCTTTAGAGTTAGAATGATCTACTTCAAGGTTACATCCTGATCTACAAATTATTCAAGTTTTTGCATATTTTAAATAAACTGTAAAAACTGACAGGCTTATCAAGCAAAAGACAATTTCTGAATGTACATAGTTGTTTTTTCAATGGAATTCTTGTCTTTTTACCAATAAAAAAATCAAGCTTGTGAGAAAAATATCAAGAAAATGTTATAAACACTTGTTGAAGTGATTACATTTTAACTTCTCAAATTACTCGTTTCAGTGATTTTAAAAAGTCTGTGTCTATTTTTGTGAAAATTTTTAATATTTCACAGCCAAAATCACTTGAATAAGTGATTCAAAATCACCTGTTTAAGTAGTACCCCTGACTGTACATCCGATGAAAATTATCTGGTTTCATGTCAATGTTTTCATTTATGACATATTTTTGGTTATAATTATAAACAGGTTGGGGAAGAAAAAATAGAAGTATTTACACTTGTAAGTTGTATGAAAAATTGTCCACCATTACCTAAAATCACACAATTTTCTGTAAACTTTGACATCACAATTTAAAAAAAAATTGGACGTCACAATTAAAAATAGCTGCGGAACCGTAGCTCTTCTATGTCCTTATGATATTTTTTGACTATTTGCCGGGTGGAGCCGCAGCTAAATTTAAAAGTGACTGTTGCATGACGTCGAAAGGTTATTTAGAGCAAATACCTTTAATTTGGACAAGAAGACAAAGTTAGCATCAATAAAGTTTATATACTATTAAATTTATAGACAAGTCAATAGACTATTTTCATATTACCGACTTTTGACTTCGGATTATATAATTATTCAACAGGTAACCTTTTCTGTGGTTGTACATCCTGGTACTCGGTCAAGTAAGAGCAACCAAAATTAAACATTTATCGGTGTAATTTGATAGGAAAGAAAATGTTAAGCAGTTAATTTTTCCCCAAAATTGTACCGATTGAAAGCTTGGTTTTACTTCTTTAGCTTGCTCTTTCCTGACTTGGTACCAGGATGTCCAACCACAGAAAAGGTAACCAGTCGAGAAATTATAAATCCGGAGTCAGAAGTCGTAATATGAAAATAGTCTATTAATTACAGTTGATTCAATCACAATTATTGCTGTTTTATAAAGTTTCAAATTTTGTTACAGCAGAGACACACATACACATACACATGTCTTTGCTTATAGTTACCAGTATATCCCAAACTCTGTCAGTCAGGGATATAACTCTATAGGGTTATTACAGAAAATATCTTGCATGTGTTATTACAGATATTTTCATGAGTTGTCTACTCTTTAATCCTTAAATTTTCTAAATCTGTAATAACATATGTTTGTTATTTGTAAAATAAATCATAAATATTTTAATTTTTAGTGGGCTCTAGGGTAATCTTGAAACTTTGGGCAGAAACTAAATGCATAGCCTTGATAACTAATTTTTGAATTAAATTAATACATTTTTCATTAACCATCATGACCATGGTAAATCAATGAGACAAGGCTTTTAAGGGATAAACTTAGCTGTAATAACAAGGCTTAGTAATTAAAGGCATGTAACTTATTATATGAGACACTTGGGAATTACTGGGAAGCTTGCAGCAGAACCTCATTACATGCTCTGATCATTATTTCTTACAATAAATTAAAATACATTGTAATTAAACATGATGTATGTCTGAGCAAATGCTTTGAAGTGATGTAGAGTCTAGAGAAGCTGTAATAACACCCTTTAGTTATTACAGGCATATTTTTTCTCTAATAACATAGGTGTATTATGCATGATTGGCAAACTACATGTATGAACTGTTATATCTTTCTATAGTTAAGTATACCTAAAGACAGTAGCAATATCTATAGAACTTGTATACATTTTAACAAAACTAATGATGTATATTGTTCCTTTGAAACATGTAACATACATAATCACAGTTCTTTGATTTTTTAGTCCACAATAACAAATGTATGTTATTTTTCTGTAATAACCCTATAGAGTTATATCCCTGACTGTCTGTCTGACCGACAAAATGTCAAATTTCTTTTTTCGGTCAGACAAACCCTCAAACAGTTTGGCACAGACTGAGTTACATTGTAGCAGCACTACACATGTACGTACGTCTTGTAATGAATTTTTGTAACAATCCCATGTCCCATCATATGAATATATATTTAAATATATGGACCATTTTAGTGAAATAAATAAAAGATTAGATTAATACCATGAATACATTGTATCTTGTAACTTGGTTTGAACCTTTGATATATCAACCATCATGACCATGCTGACTCTTACATACATGACACAAATCGATTCATTAATTTATAATATAGCTCTTGTCAGAATACTGAATGAGTTGGGAAATGTATATCCCATATGCAGGTGGATTGGTATATTGCTACTGAGGTGGGGGAAATTGATAATTTCAAAATTAAAATTGTCTCGTTTGTCATAGATTCTAATACTGAGATGACCGCTTTTGTTAAATTCAAGGTACAGGTCTAAAAATGAGGCAGAGGAAGCCATGTCTGGTGTTTCTTTGATTTCTAGTTCTAGAGGGTATATTAAAGGAAGCCAATCAGAAAAGTTTGGATTGTTAATGGAAAGAAAAGATTTCTGTGCACTCTTTTTTATTGAATTTTCTACTGTAAATGAGGACTTTGTCCTTCTTTACTACATGCTCTTCTACCTGGTGCTTCTCCCAGAAAAATGTTATGTCACAATATCCTAGCTATGATGTGTTTTTACCTGAATTACCCCATTTCAACCAGGGCAACTCATTTATTAAATCAAAATTAGAATTCATGTATTATGCTGATGACCAAAACCTTTTTTGTTATAGCAGATTCTAACTTCGAAAACCTAATGAAAACTCTTGGACAGGAATGTGGACAACTTACATGTCATGCATGTATAGAATTAGTTTGAATATTTATAAAATGCAGGGGCAATGATAAACTCTGACAAATTTCAAGCCATTTTTTTTTTTCACAGCATATTGCGGCTATGGAATTACGCTATCAGAATATAATGAATTTTATAAGAAGACCAGGTGCTTTAGGAAACCAAGATTTCAGGAATTTTCAAGATTTGAGGAGACTACGAGAATTAATAAACCGTCAAGAGGTCGCCCAACAGGTCAATCAACCACGGAATGAGAGGATTAATATTGATAGTGATATTTTAAGGTATAATATTTATATAACAATATGTAGAGGATATTTTAAGGTATTAATATAACAATGTGTCTGTATTAGGAATACAAGTAGTTATATCCACCCCATTACTTGAAAAAAAATAAAATTAAAATAAAGTTACAGCCAATTTTGTGTCAAAATTAGGTTCTCTGGTTCTCAATCCTCTAGCCTGGCTCCCTTAATATTGAATCCTCATTCAGAACCTGTATATACATGATATAGTAATTAGGAGATGTGGTATGATTGCAAATGAGACATCTTTATTTATAGAGGGTAAAGACTGTAAAAAATTTCATCTTCATACTTCCCAGAAACTTTTTTGGAGCACTTGACCATAAAATGTTCAGAATGATGAAATCTATCTAATGTCTATTGACATCAAAACTGTCAAATGACCACTTATAAGAGTTATTGCCCTTAATCGATTATTTTTCCCAATTTTTTGCGTTTTTGACTATTATCTTGAAAACTTTAACAGATAGATAGAAAAATAAGGGCAACAGTAGTATACCGCTGTTTAAAAGTCATAAATCAATTAAGAGAAAAGAAATATGGGTTACAAACTAAAGCAGAGGGAAACATCAACTATAAGACGAAAACAACGAAACAAAAGAAACACTGAAGTGCAACAAAAAACAAACGACTATGCAGCATACATAGAAAAGAACAATTAAATAACAAATGCCATATTCCTGTCTTGGTACAGAACATTTTAAGAAAAAAATGGTGGGTTGAACCTGGTTTTGTGGCTAGCCAAACCTCGCGCTTTATGGCAATGTTAAATATAACGCTAAAATGACAACATTACATGACAGGAATACAGTACAAATAAATGCAAGAACAGTCAGGACAGAAAAATTAGAAAATTAAATTAGCAAAAAAGATCAGCAACACAAGATCTACAACTAAGTCAACATGGCCCTTTAATGGCGTTTATCTTTTTGCATTTTTGTCTATTTTTTTAAAACTAGCATAGAAAGATAGAAATTTCAATCAGCAAGGCAAGCCAACAAAAAAGTCAGTATGATAAAAGTCAAAGATCAACTCCTTATTGATGTGCCCTATCTTAAAAACTATATTATATAGAAACTTAAAACAGCAAAAATGATAAGCAAGATGAGATCTACTAAGAAACCATCATGGCGGAAATCTTCAGTTGACTTTTCATTAGAGTTATGGCCCTTTAATGATAATTTTTTACCAATTCTTTTTTCATTTTTTGCCAATTTTCTTGAAAACTACACTACAAACCAGTAAAAGTCTGAAATGGCCTATATCTGTACTCGACTGTACTGATTTTTACTCGACCAGTCTGAATTGGTCTGAAATTTACTTGATAATACTCGACTGTAGTCTGAACCATACTTAACAGTCTGAACTTGTACTCGACCCTTACTCGACCAGTACTTAACCATTTTATACGCGTCTGAACCATGCTCAACCTAGTCTGAACCATACTCGACCTAGTCTGAACCATACTCGACCAAGTCTTAACCAACCTAGACCTATTTTTTGTATCTATCTATTGTATTTCATCAATTTAGGAACTGTTTTTAACAACAGCTATTTCCCGTGGCTAGAAATTTGAACAACAATTTGAAATTAAAAATGTATTCAATATAGCATTGAAACCAAAATTTCACAATAAACATAATATAACTTCATCACCATATTCATCAACACTAATCTTATATACATACATATATATCACCTTTAAAATAAAAATAAAACAAGCTGATCAAATAATCTCAAAACTGAATTGTGACTCATATTTTCAATGTTATTCAAAATTTTTTGAATGTTTCAGATATACTTTATGGTTACTGGACAATTTTCACCATTAACTTAAGCCTCGTATAGATTTATGGTGTCACTTGAGTTAAGTTAATAATGCAGTGAACATTTTTTTTATTAAAATATATATAAAATAGCATATAAAGCAACTTAATAAATTTAAAAAATGACACCTTTGTTTTGTTAAACCAAGAATTTAATATAATCATGATAATAGAACTTCCATAGTAGTCCTGTGATAAACTTTTAAAAAAGGAAATGTGTTCCAAAGTTACAGTAAAAATTTACTTCAATTAAATTTAAATAATTTTTGTCAAAATTAAAGACATGGCATACAAGAAGCACTTTAATAAGGTTTAAATACCTCAGTACATGTGTGTTTTACAGGTAAAAAGAAAGCCCTTTATTTTTCTTAAACTCGTGTATTACTTATCTAGTGAACTCAAAAGGCCTTGCGATTTAAGTTTCACAGGATGTTGCAATTTTGAATGAATGTTATTTAGAATTTAATACTCTCTGACCAGGTGTGATCTTTTTCATGAGTTTGCCCCAAGCAGGAGGTATTACTTTATACTTCACCACTAATCAGAAGAACAATTTTATTTATTTCTTTAATTTTTATCCCTTTTTGATTTATATTGTATATAATATATCCCAAATTATAATAATAGATATATTTCTAAAATAAGGTTAAACAATTTCAGTGATTTTGTTGGCTGTTGTTACCTCATTAAAAAGATAATTATATAACTATTGTACATTTTTTGTATGTAACCATGAAACCTATGTAGTTTTTATTTAGGAAATTTAATTTAGAAATAAAACACATGTGAAACAAGAAGCACCTTAATAAGGTTTAATTACCCTCAGTATAGGTGTGGTTTTTTAGGTAAAAGAAAATCTTTTTTTAACAAAACTCTAAAACTTTAAAATTAAAATAATTAAATTATTATATAAGATAATTTGATTTAACTATCTCTATTCGATAAATCTAAGAATCATGTAAGAATGTAAAAATCCGTTTTTATAATATATCTTTATTCTATTGTGGCTGTTGTCATGTCAGTTAAAAAGAAATTTATTTTAACAGTTAAAATTTAGAAAAAGTAGAGGTTATTTGGTCAAGTATGGTTCAGACTGGTCGAGTATTGTTCAGACCTTTGGTCGAGTATTGTTTAGACTGAAAAAATAGGTAGAGTACAGGTCGAGAATGGGTTAAGACTGTTTCAGACTGGTCGAGTAATAGTTCAGACTATTTTCAATGGCAAAGGTAAGGGTCAAGTACAAATCAGTACAGTCGAGTATGGTTAAGACTGGGGTCGAGTAATGTCGAGTAAAATTCAGACCAATTCAGACTGGTCGAGTAAAAATCAGTACAGTCGAGTACAGATATAGGCCATTTCAGACTTTTACTGGTTTGTAGTGCTATAATAAAGAAATAGAAACTTTAAATAAGAAATTAATATGATCAGCAGGTTTTGATCTACAAATAAGTTAACATTAATTCTGATTCACTCATAGGGTCTTTGCCTCAGAAATAAACACATTTATTCTAAAACCAGTTGTTGGCATGATACAGGTTATGTTCTTCTCATATATTTTATGATGGTATGATACTTAACCCCTAACCAAGGGATTGTGCTTTATTTTCATATGATGAAGACATAATCTTTCAAATTGTTTAAGTGAGATCTGTAGCTAGCATGTCAGTAACTACTAGTAGTCCCTTGTTAAATTATATTATCATTGTCACAGTCTGCACTGTTAGCCACAAGTCTGGTGCCATAGACTAGTACGTAAGTATTTGCAAAATTTTGTATAGACACAGAAAATATCTGAATATTGGTCTTCGAACAAGTAGTTGGAAAAGATTTTGGTGCAGACTGTTGTCATTATGTTTAATTTATTCTGCTACCTGTTCTAACGTAGGTTTCAGATTTTTTTTAGAATGAGTTTTACTGTGCCTATTGCTGTGTGTTTGTTTATTCTACATTTGCTAGAGGTATAGGGGAGGGTTGAGATCTCACAAATCATGTTAAACCATGCCACATTTTTGCGCCTGTCCCCAGTCAGGACTCGGGAACATTTCACCATTGTTAGTCTTGCATGTTTTTTTAAATTATGGTTCATATATATGTTTTGGATTTAGGTGTGATGTCCATTTGCTTTGAGCAAGTACACATTATTGTTTAGGGGCCAGCTGAAGCCTGCCTCTGTGTGCAGGATTTTCGCCCTGTGTTGAAGACCCATTGGTGGCCTTGGGCTGTTTTCTGCTCTTTGGTCGGTTTGTTGTCTCTTTGACACATTCCCCATTTTGCATTCTCAATTTTATGACTGAAATCATCAATAAGCTTTTAATATTGTTATTCCCCTTTAACATGTTTAATAACATTTTTTTACCAAAAAGTGGCATTTATTGAAGATACAGGTTAGGGACACAAGCCTCTAGTTATACATTGTGAACTGAAATTATCAGAGCTGGTATGCATGTTGCAAAGTAAGTGAATGTACTAAAAGGATAAATTAATGTTTTCCATAATAGAAAGTAGTTCTTCCCAAAGAAACATGAAACTTTTTGTTTATTGATATACTTTAAACATGGAATATTTTTGTTTATTTCACAATCGCATGAAAAATGTGGCAATTACATGTACTCTGTATGAATACTGTGTACAAATCAGTAATATTAATGTGTATGATTTCATAACACAAATTGTATGCAAACAAAAATGTGAAAATTAAATAACCTGGTGAATGATCCACTGTTACAATATTATCACATCTTTAGATTTTCTTTTCTTTTTCAGTTACCAAGTAAATGAACACAACAAAGTGGGCCTCTATGTCACAGCTGATCCTCTTACATCTGATAATTATTATTTTGAAATAGAAATTTTAGATTTAGGTCAAATTGGAGCAATAGGTAAGATTTACCAGATGCTGTTTGCTGTTTGTACATTATTTTCAATAATCTATGTATAAGTGTATCATCTCGCTATTAACTGTGTTTGTATAGAAAAAGAGAAATATATTTTTCTATTTTAAAATGGTGACCTAAAGTTGCAAGCATCTAGGTCATTTGGTCTCTTGTGGATTGGCAGTCATACCACATCTCAGTGATTGTATTCATTGACATACAACATATTGTGAATAAAAAGTAATTAGACATAAAATGTAGTTTTATCCAAATAAATGGGGAATGTGTCCATTGGACACCGATGATACCCCCGCTTGCATATCATATAAAGTTATAAAGGGACATAACTGAAGAACAATAAAAGTGACACTACCTAAATTTGTAATTGATCTGAGTTTTGTGGTAATTGTATTGTGTATAAGTTTCATAACATTTGGTTTAGGCAAACTTAAGTTAGAGAACGGAAAATTCTGCAATATTTCAGTTTGTAAAGGGGCATAACTCTAGAACAGTAAAAGTGACACCCCCAAAATTCCAACTTGATCTGTGTTTGTGGTAATAAGCATTGTGTATAAGTTTTATATAAATTCATTTGTTGTAACTTCAGATATATGGCTTAAATAATCACGATAATGGAGAATTATATAACCTGTTGATTTTGTTTTGTTGAAAGACAGAAATGTAATGTGATTTAATAATAGTAGTGTAACGCTGCATCTGTGGTCTCATCAAAAATAGAATTTTTGAAAACCATACAAAAGACCAGTCATACTTTATATTAGACCGTGTTATCCATTAAAAGAAGGTGACTTTTTACAAAATGATATCTTGGCAGGAAATCTTTTACTAGGGGAAATATTTTTGATTTAAAAACATTTGTTTTACAATTTTAACAGTTAATTTTTTTTTTATCACCTAATTTGATCAGGAATATATATACATTTTTTTTTGTAATTTCCTTTAACCTTTTAATTTAATTTTTGTTGTACCTTTCAGGTGTTGGACTGGTTCCCAGAGGTTATCATTTAGATGCTCAGCCAGGATGGAGAGCAATGTCAGTAGGCTATCATGCTGATGATGGCAAGTAAGTAATCATGGATCATCTACCCTTGGATTTAAAAAAAAATTAACATTTGAAAAATACCTTTAGTTGTTTCTGAGTCTTAGTGGCTTTTTTAAATTGCTAACAGCAGTAGTTTGTATAATAAAAACAAGATATGTCGGACTAGATTTAAAAATTTCAGGTCTTCTTTAAGAGTGATAATTCAATCTCAGTATTACAAAATGAAGAATAGTTGATATATACAATATAAAAATAAGGAGATGTGGTTTGCCAATTGGACAACTATCCAAAAACATGTTACAAAAGATTACTTAATTGTTGATGAGGCTTATTTAAGTTTACAAAATTTTGCTGGAAACATTGGTTGAAGTGCTATAGTATCCTTGACTGTTTAGTCAGATATTTATAGCAATAATAATATTTATCAGAATAAGAAGATTGGGTACAATTCATGATTGCCAATGAGACAACTTTCCACTAGAGACCAGATTACGTAGAAGTAAGTCACTATATGTCTCTGTATGGCCTTCAGCAATGAGTAAAACCCATATGGCTTCACAAGTTATAAAAGGCCCGACACAACAAAAATGAAACAATTTGAAATGAGAAAATTAAAGGCTTGATTTGTGTAAAAAACAATAAACAAAAAAGCAAATATGATTAACAAAGTTTGTTGACCTTTTATTTATACATAAGCACCTATGATTTCATTTGAAATATTTTATCACTGTTTAAGCTGGTAATGTTGTTAAAGGGGCACTAACTTCGAGATATGATAAAATATAGAATATGATTTTGGTTGGTTCAATCATTAATATAAGAGAAATCATGAAATAATAATTCGTTTTTAGCAACCAAGTTGGTTCAATTTTGTCAAAATAAGCAAAGAAACATTGTTGATGAATTATTCACTTGCAAGTGAATAATTCGACCTCATTGAATCCGTATTCATGTGACCTTCAATTTAACCCAATAGCTAAAGATTGGTTACGCATGTATAAATTGTGGTCAGCCATTTAAAGGAAAAGAATGTCAACATTGAAAGTGAAACAAAGGTGAACCATTTCGTTGACTGATTCGATCCACAAAAAAATCATTCTTATACAGGTAAAACGATAATTAACTTTTTATTTAACCTATAACATGAAATCAAACATACCTAGAAAAATAGAAAAATCCAATTGCACATGGTAGCTGTTCATTTATATTTATGTTTATGTTTATATCGGGTTATAGGACAATCGGCTGTCTCCAGTGGTCATCTCAAAGTTAATTAGATGGCGTCTAGACTAAAATATAAATGAAGTTCTGATATACATTATCGAGTACATGCAGTGTTAACTGTTTATTTCAGACTTATTGTAATTTGAATATACGTTTTAGTATGTTATAAATCAAATATGAGAATTTAAGTCAAATCGGTGAACATGAATTTGACAGCTAGTGCCCCTTTAAAACAGTGTATATATTTCAGAAAAGAGAGTTCCCTCAATGTTATTACACTTTATTTCAGATTATTTAAATCAGAGGGATTTGGCAAACCATTTGGGCCAGTCTCCCAGGTGGGAGATAAGTTAGGGTGTGGTATAAAGTTCTGTAAAGATGACGACGGAGAAACACCACAGCAAGTCAAAGTTTTCTTCACACACAATAGGAAAGAGGTAGAATATATCATCAATCAGTCACTCTATTAAATTTGGGATGAGGCAAACTTTGTAATTGTAAATTTTTTATGTTTAATTTTGTAGAAAGACAGTTTATTAAAACTTAAAGATCAAGTTTGATGTTATTGTGCTTGTTTAAATTTTTTTTTATGAAAATATGGTTCTTGTATTATGTAATTTTTAATTCTTTTCAATTCAACATAGTACCAATATTGTACATATCAAAATGTATGCTGAATAATAAGTTAAATGGAGTTAATACGATTTTAATTAAGGAATGACTGTAATATTTTTTCTGTCTATGAAGAAATAACATATAAATGTGGTGCACACTGAATAACCTGTGTAGCGGGTTATTTAAAAGTGTGCACCACATTTTTTGTGTTATTTCGAATAGACAGAAAAAATATAAAAGTCATTCCTTATAATTTAATTCTATAATGAAGTAAATAGTGATAAAAACGTTGATGACGTCGCGGCCACATGACAAAATTATGTCTATGAGCTGATAGACAAAACACTTTCAGCCAATCAGAAGACGTGTTACATCCAAAATTAAATTATTAGAACATATTTGAAATGATTCACTGACAGAATTTTAACCAATGAAATTTGCTGTTTTTAGGTTGGTATAGTGATGGTACAATATCCTCCAGGTGGATTATTTCCTGCTGTGGGGATGCATTCAGAAGGTGAAGAGGTCAAACTTAACTTAGATGCAGAATGGCATTACAACGAATTAGTTTTAATGGCAGTTGATAGTGGTGAAGATGAGTGGTCACGGTTACACGATGTCAAATTAAATGGATCAGTGAGTTTTAATGTTTAGTGTTTTTCACAGAGTTATTCTTAAACTAATTGTTTTTTGTTGTTCTTTTTTTAAACGCTGATTGAAAAATACAATAAATCACACAATCATTTTCATGTGTATATATAACAGATACTGTATATTTTGGAAAATATCTTCTTATATCTACTTCTTTGGCCTCATGAAAGAACAAAAAGTAATAGATGCTCTCAAATGGTATGCAATTATTCTGTAAGAACAGAAAGTCAAAGCATTTATATTTATGCTTAGATTGATTGATTGTTGGTTGCTTAACGTCCTTTATGCTTAGAATTGTTTTTAGTACATACAAAATATAACACAATTAATGTAAGAAACACAAGCAGAATTCCATTTTAAACTGAAGTGAAGAATGTTGAATAAAGGATTATTAACCGGATTTTCGAAGGAAATATCGGTTATTAAAATGGTAATGTACGGCGGGCGGCTGCCAAACAGTGTCAGCACAATAACATGAAAACGCTTTAACAAATTTTTTAAAAATTTAAATATGTTGTTTCCTGGGACTTAATGAAGGTCTAGTTCAATTTTCAAGTTATTGGTATATCTCCTTTTCGAGATATCGCCATTTTTAATATCCAAACAAAACAAATCAAATGAAATAAAAGACGAGTCCCCTGGGGTCACCCCCACCCCCTCCTGTTTGAGAACTTGTAAACGGTCAAGATCCTCACCCCTAAACCATATATATTCTTGAATGGGACAATAAAACAAATCAAATGATATATAGGGGAAGTCCATGGGGGTCACCCCCACCCTCCTTCTTTTTGATAACTTGTAAACAGTCGAGATCCCCACCCCTAAACCATATATATTCTTGAATGGGACAATAAAACAAATCAAATGAAATTGAGGGGGAGTCCCCTGGGGTCACCCCCACCCCCCCCTTTTTTTTGAAAACTTGTTAACGGTCAAAATCTCCACCCCGAAACCATATATATTCTTGTATGGGACAATAAAACAAATCAAATGAAATACAAGACGAGTCCCCTGGGATCACCCCACCCCCTCCTGTTTAAGAACTTGTAAACAGTCGAGATCCCCACCCCTTAACCATATATAATCTTGTATGCAATAAAACAAATCAAATGAAATATAGGGGAAGTCCATGGGGGTCACCCCCACCCTCCTTTTTTTGATAACTTGTTAACGGTCTAGATCTCCACCCCTAAACCATATATATTCTTGAATGGAACAATAAAACAAATCGAATGAAATAAAGGGGAAATCCCCTGGGGTAACCCTCACCCCCCCTTCTTTTTGAAAACTTGTAAACGGTCAAGATCCTTATGCCGAAACCATATACATTCTTGTATGGGACCATAAAACAAATCAAATGAAATATAAGGCGAGTCCCCTGGGGTCACCCCCACCCCCTCCTGTTTAAGAACTTGTAAACGGTCAAGATCCCTACCCCTAAACCATATATATTCTTGTACAGGACAAAAAAACAAATCATATGAAATAAAGGGAGAGTCCCCTGGGGATCACCCCCCCTTTTGAGAACTTGTAAACGGTCGAGATCTCCACCCCTAAACCATATAAATTCCTGTTCGTAATTTCAAGAAGATTTGAATGACATACAGGGTCAATCCATATAGATGTCACTAATGCATATCATAAACCAATTTGTACTGGACATTGCCCAATGTCAAGCGACAATGGGAATGACGAATTATTGGAGCTTTGTTTGTGAGACTTCGTAACAGCATTCTGTTACAATTATTTCTTGTTACTGATAAGTTTTATAGATTTTGAAATGACATTGTATTAATGATAAATAAAATTTTGGATTTTTTTCTTCGTTTCTTTGGTAAATTGTTTGTAGAATTTTGTGGCAAGTTTGTTTGTTATTCTGTATTAACTAATTTTCTGAATGCTATATATTTTTTTTTTTTGATGAAGTAAACTTGTTTAAAAACTAAGCTTATATATATTGTCTATTAATAAACATATATTTAGATTTCTGATTTTGGGCCCAGTTTTCAAGTTGGTCCAAATCAGGGTCCAAAATTAAACTTTGTTTGATTCAACAAAACAATTATTTATGGTGTTCTTTGAAAAGCTGAATCTAACCATGTATTGAGAGATTTTGGATTGTGTGCTCCTTTATCAAATTGGTCCACATTGAGGTCCAAAGGGTCTTAAATTAAACTTTTGTCTGATCTCATCAAAAATTGAATTCTTGGGGTTCTTTGATATGCTGATTCTAATATGTACTTAGATTTTTTATATTGGACCATAAAGGTATTTAAATGTCCAATTTCAAGTATTTCAGTTCTTAAACCACATTCATTTTGTGTCACAAACCTATGCTGTGTCAAATATTCAATCACAATCCAAATTCAGAGCTGTTTTAAGCTTAAATGTAGTGTCTATACTTGCTCAACTGTTCAGGGTTCGACCTCTGCAGGAAAATCGGTTTGTTGTCACTCTGACAGCCTCTTGTTTTTTAATATATCTTAATTTCTGAAATTGTATATAGGAAAAGCTACAAGGTATGAAGATTTTGTTCTGCTTAGATTATTCTCTGTAATCATATATGGGAAACTACAAACATTGAACAGTTTGCTTTGATTAGATCTATTTCATTTCAGTTGTTGGAATATAATGGTCGAGGAAAGAGTATACATGATGTTGGACTTGCTCAAGCTAGATTTCCTCTAGATACAACAAATCATTACTTTGAAATAGAAATTGTAGATCCTGGAGAAAACTGCTATATAGCAATAGGAGTAGCTAAGAAGGTAAAATATCACCTATACTTATAAAATTGAGATTTAATTGTAGTGGTTTTTATGGTAAAAACTGCATTTAAATGTAGTTGAACCAACTCATAGTATTGCCTTACAATACAGATGTTTAATTTAGTTCAAACTGCAAAATGAATGCAAGCTTTCCCCTCAGCATTGACAAGCTCTTTGATTTTATACAGGCTGTGGTCAAGTTGCAAATTTTGCAAAGCTGGAAATAGATATTTGCAACATTAAAATCTCAGATTGATGTCTGTCTGTATTAAAATATATTATGGTTATTGCTCTTCAAATACAGTTACCAAATCTGACTTTAATATAAACAGAAAACAATAACCTGCAATTGTATACAACATTCAGACATATTTTATATCCCCTCTGATATATTAATTTAGGTAAGAAATTGGAATATTAAATGTAAATTTTGGAAATAAAGTTAACATGATAAAAGTTCAAATGAAGTAGGGCTAATAAGTTTTGCTTTCATGGTTGAGAGTTTTATGGGCAAGAAGGCTAAACATTCATTTTGCTTCTGTCCTAAGTCCGGAGCCTATGGCCTCTTTTAGTCTTGTATCATTTTTGATTTTACTTCATTTATATATTTCGGAGTTTAGTATGAGGTCCATAATCACTGAACTAGTTCACAATTTTGTTTAGGGGCCAGCTGAAGCACGCCTCCGGGTGCAGGATTTTCTCGCTGTATTGAAGACCCATTGGTGGCCTTTGGCTGTTTTCTACTCTTTGGATGGGTTGTTGTCTCTTTGACACATTCCCCATTTCCATTCTCAATTTTATTGGTTTGTACAACATAAGGGCTTAAATCAATCTATCATATTTTGTAGACATATCCAAAGAATCGACATCCAGGTTGGAATAAAGGCTCAATAGCATATCATGCAGGTAATTTTAATTAAAAAAAGTAGATTTGGGGATTATGAAGGAAGTTACTAAAAAATTTACCATATTCATAACATGGCTACTTTATGGTTGTTTCAAGACTTATCTTTTATATAGATCCATGTGCAATTAACAAAGATATAACAAAGATATAAAAAACAGACTTTGAAAGTTGAATATATTCATTTCACTCAAAAAGTTAAGCAAAGAAATAAGATTCACTTCATGCAGAGATAAGAGATGATTTTGTTGCAGTTTGATATCTATTTATAGATTTTACTGCATACATTGATTGATATACAATGCATGCTCCATACATCTAAACATTTGATATGCAGAATATTGTATTATTGTAAGATGCAGCTGTCAAATTTGTTATCAATAAGTTGTTTCATGAATGAGGAAGGGTAGGTAGGGACATCCAAAATCCCCCTACAACCAAAGAAACACCCCTTCTTCCCCCCACATTGATTTCAATAGAATAACCCTAACATTTCCTTCATGAAAGGTACTCAACACTATATAACTCTGTAAAGTCAGCTGAATGTTTTAATTGTTAAGGAATTTCAACGATCAAAATTAGTGTTTGTCTAACTGCTATATATCCAATGACATGTTTCCAATAAAGTGTGTGGTTCAAGTTTTTTGAATGTTTTGAATTTTTGTCAAAGGGTGATAGTAAATATTTCGTAAACGTTTTATGAAAATTAAAGGAGCCATATTTATTTTAGTCGATGTGTTTGGTACCACCTTTAGATTTTCATTGTATTGTAGATGATGGGAAGATTTTCAATGGTTCAGGAATAGGTGATCACTTTGGTCCAAGATGTAATAAAGGTAATTATTATATAATTAGTAGTAAATACAGGTAAATACAGGTAAATTGTATGTGTAATACAATTGATGACAATCGAGTAGTATCAGCCATCTGTGATGATATCGATATAAGTCACAATTGCAAATGCTTTTTCTAACCCCTAATTTGTATGACGTCATGTCATCTATATCAGTCACGGTTGCAAAGGCTTTATCAAACCCCTAATCTGTATGATGTCATGTCATCGATATCAGTCACGGTTACAAAAGATTTATCAAACCTCTAAAATGTATTACATCTTGTCTCGTGAAAAATACATGAGAGAGATTAGTTGTACTTGAGGTACATGTATATTATAAAGTGTACATTCATTTTACTTCTGTCCTAAGTCCGGAGCCTATGGCCTCTTTTAGTCTTGTATCATTTTTGATTTTACTTCATTTATATATTTCAGAGTTTAGTATGACGTCCATTATCACTGAACTAGTATACATATTTGTTTAGGGGCTAGCTGAAGGACGCCTCCTGGTGCGGGAGTTTCTCGCTGCATTGAAGACCCATTGGTGGCCTTCGGCTGTTGTCTGCTCTATGGTCGGGTTGTTGTCTCTTTGACACATTCCCCATTTCCATTCTCAATTTTATGATATGGCTTTTTCAATATCACACCCTGTATCAACCCTCAACCAACATAAACCTCTAGTGCAGAGCTCTTTGGATTATATTGGTGTCTCTGGTTGATACAGGTGGCATATTGAAAAAGCCATATGAATTTTTTTATTTATAGAAAACTAATAATTTGGAGACAATTGTTTAAAAAACAAATCAAACATATAATACTGATTTCTGTTTACACAACTCATCTCTCAACAGTCAAGGATATAACTCTATAGGGTTATTAGAGAAAAATAACATACGCTTGTTATTGTGGACAAAAAAATCAAAGAACTGTGATAACATATGTATGTTACATGTTTCAAAGGGACAATATACATCATTAGTTTTGTTAAAATGTATACAAGTTCTATAGATATTGCTACTGTCTTTATGTATACTTAACTATAGAAAGATGTAACAGTTCATAGTTTGCCAATCATGCATATCACACCTATGTTATTACAGAACAAATATGCCTGTAATAACTAAAGGGTGTTATTACAGCTTCTCTACATCACTTCAAAGCATTTGCTCAGACATACATCATGTTTAATTACAATGTATTTTAATTTATTGTAAGAAATAATGATCAGAGCATGTAATGAGGTTCTGCGCAAGTTTCCCAGTAATTCCCAAGTGTCTCATTTAATAAGTTACATGCCTTTAATAACTAAGCCTTGTTATTACAGCTAAGTTAATCACTTAAAAGCCTTGTCTCATTGATTTACCATGGTTAATGAAAAATGTATTAATCTAAATTAATAGTTAGTTATCAAGGCTATGCATTTAGTTTCTGCGCAAAGTTTCAAGAGTTCCCTAGAGCCCACTAAAAATAAAAATATTTATGATTTATTTTACAAATAACAAACATATGTTATTACAGATTTAGTAAATTTAAGGATTAAAGAGTAGACAACTCATAAAAGTATCTGTAATAACACATGCAAGTTATTTTCTGTAATAACCCTATAGAGTTATATCCCTGACTGTTGAATAAACTTTACTGTGGATTCATTATTATTCGTTGGATACCAGTTTTCTTGGATTTCATGGGTACAGGTGAACCATGAAATTAAATGTTCCATGAATGGCAAATTTTCTATATGCTTGTATGCAGACTATTGCAAAACCATGAAATCAAGTATCAATGGACATACACTCTTTTCTCAACTCACGAAAATTGGTACCCACGAAAATAAATGAATCAACAGTATCAGATATAAGAAGATGTGGTATGAGTGCCAATGAGACAACTCTCAATCCAAGTCAAAATTTATAAAAGTAAACCATTATAGCCTTGGCTCACACCGAACAGTAAGCTATAAAGGGCCCCAAAAATTACTAGTGTAAGACCATTCAAACGGGAAAAACCAACGGTCTAATCTATATAAAAAACGAGAAACACTTATGAACAACAGTATCAGGTATGCTTGTGACCAAATATCTGGAAGCCAAAATTGAAAAATAAAAATAAAAGCCATAAAATATTTGAAAACATAATACAAAAAGATCTTAAACAGAATAACAGACTCATGTTAGAAGAAATATGCCAAAGGATTACAGGATTTTAAAGTATGGCAAAAATAAACATACACAAAAAATTCCTACCTATTACACATGGCAAAAATATACACGCAAAAAAAATTCCTACCTATTACACATAAAAACATTATACACACCTTTTTTAAAACTAACTTTAACACCAGTTATATGATTATTATCTCTCTAGATAAAACAGATTATTTTCTACATGTAGTATCACACAATAAACCCAACCTGCAATCTGTAAAATAATTGTTGTTTTCAGGAGATGTTATGGGATGTGGCATCCTATTTCCACCAGACTACGATAGTGAGGCGGATAGCGACCTCTCACCAGATGACCCAGATGTATATAACGATGTCCTGGCAGATGAGAATTATTCTGATGATGATGATGATGACCTCTATGATGAAGTTGAAGGTCGTCCTGTCAATGGACAACCACCTGAGGATGGGACACTTGTTTGTGTAAGTGTACATAATGCAGGTTTCTGAAAATGTGTTGCAATTGACATGTCTTATAAATGCTTTAAAATGAAAATACTTTTTCTAGAATGCTTATGTTTTTAATCAAACCCTAAAGCTTTTTTTCAGATAATGATTGTTTTTGGCTGAAATTTTATAGTAATGACTTTTATATTATAGATAATTATTACTTTGGTTGCAATGAATTACCGTAATTTCCCAGTGAAATAAAAACCGATATTTTCACATGTGAAATAAACTGGATAATTTCACTCCTCTGACATCATACAACAATAGGTGTTGTCAAGACGTTGTCGATGACGTTGCATCAAAGCAAATTGTGAATGTGTAGAAAACGATATAGTTCCTTGTATTTTCTACTTTATTTCCATAAAAAAGTTCATGATCAATGTATTAAAGAGAATAACTAATCAAAGAATTTAAATATCCAAAAATATTCAACTCGTGACTGAACAACACTTATAATTAACTCATGCGCTACATGCATTCGTGAATTAATGTGTTGTTCGGTCACTCGTTGAATATTTTTCTATATTTGAATTCTTTGATTAGTTATTCTAATTATTATGATGTTTTGATTAGTTATTCTAATTATTATGATGTTTTGATTAGTTATTATGTTTTGATTAGTTATTCTAATTATTATGATGTTTTGATTAGTTATTCTAATTATTATGATGTTTTGATTAGTTATTCTAATTATTATGATGTTTTGTATGTTTATTCTAATTATTATGATGTTTTGATTAGTTATTCTAATTATTATGATGTTTTGATTAGTTATTATGTTTTGATTAGTTATTCTAATTATTATGATGTTTTGATTAGTTATTCTAATTATTATGATGTTTTGATTAGTTATTCTAATTATTATGATGTTTTGTATGTTTATTCTAATTATTATGATGTTTTGATTAGTTATTCTAATTATTATGATGTTTCGATTAGTTATTCTAAATATTATGATGTTTCGATTAGTTATTCTAATTATTATGATGTTTTGATTAGTTATTCTAATTATTATGATGTTTTGATTAGTTATTCTAATTATTATGATGTTTTGATTAGTTATTCTAATTATTATGATGTTTTGTATGTTTTTTACAGGTTTTCTTTACATGTAATGGAAAGATAATAGGAAAGAAACCAGTCTGTATACCAAAGGGAGGATTCTATCCAACTGTAGGAATGTTAAGTAACTGTGAAAAGGTGGCTGTAGATTTCAGACCACTTACTGGTTGACATCTCGTTTGTTTGATTACGATTTAAAAAAAAAATTGAAGTTCTACCAGTGACTCCTGTAAAATTTGGAAATCTACATTTTGTTGATCATGGAATGTAAATTAAGGTTCAGGTTTTCTTGTATAATTATATGTTTGTTTTTTGAAATTGTTAGTCTGACCAATACTTGGAAATAGATTTTTTCCCCCTAACACAATGTGCATTATATACATACAATAAGATGGGACAGCTGCTAACTGAAATGCCAGCAAAACAAATAACCACAAAATTATATGGAAATATGATTTCTGCTGTCTGTCTATGAGAGAAATTATTATTTGTAGCAAAATATCTATTTAGATAAAGCAGTTGCTCAAATCTAAATATTGATGACTAAGATCTCAAAATGAGGTATTTTGGCAGTTTTTGCTTTTTCGCATCAAATGTCAGAAGTTTAAAGCCCTAATGCAAATATGTATGACATTATTCAAAAATAAAAAATAATGATGTCCAACAGACAAAAGTCTCATGAACATCCTTTATTTGATAGATTTGTAACACTTTTTTGATTTTCGAATTCAAGACCTTCTTCATTCTCACAAAATTCTGGGATAAGATTTTTTGTAATATATATAGCTAAATTCTCATTCCATCTAAAAAAAAATTAGCATATGTAAAATGTCAGATTTGATTGACCATGCCAATGTGACATTCTAATGATTATGTAAAGTGTTTATTACTGCCCTTCAAGTCTTATTATTTTTGTAGATAAGTTGAAGGAAATGGACTGTCATTGTGTTATTGTTTTTTTTTTTTAAATATGTGTTTTTTAAACTCAAATTCATTACATTGTGTATATGCTACTAGTATGAAAGTATTTCTGATAATAAAGCAATGATTTGTAAATGTATATATGTGTAATGAGAGAGGCTAAAGTAGAGATTAAATTGTGTGTTAGAGATTGTTTTATGTTTATTTGTATAAGTGTGCATTGATGAGCCATTTGGTAAATAAAAAAAAGGACTAATTTTTTTTTTTTTTGACCATATATAATAGATAAATTGTTTAGAAGAAAGTCCCACCACCCATTTACCATTGTTTAAAAATTAAATAAACAGTAGATTTCCTCATGTTTGGTACAGCTTACCTACTAAAAATATTTTATCGTCACCTTTTTAATTGTCAATTCTGACCATTGATTTATATATTTTTCTTAATTTCAATTGCTTTCAATTTAAAAACAAAAAGTACTAAATTCTCTCAATACCCAATATGTTTGTGTGTGTATTGAAAGTCATTATTTCCTTTTCATATTATCTCTAAAGATTTATCTGTTTTAATCTAATGATAATTTACATGATAAGATAAGATAAGATATTTTATTTCCAATTATGGGCCCCAAAGGGCATAAACATTACAACATCAATAATTTTTTCATAATACAATACAAACAATGAGATAAAAAAAAAAAAAAAAAAGTTAAACGAGAACTAAAAAGTTCTTAAAGAATACGTAGATAAAGAATCTATAGTATGTTGTTTTTTTTAATACTAATGCATTTTATTGCAAGTGTGGTTGATATAGATAACAAACAAGCAGCCCAAAAAGAAAAAAAAGAAAAATAGATATCCACATATGTATAGTACACAAAAAGTTGGATCAATTAAATATATAATAATTAGCCAAAAAGAAAGTAGAAATTAAACATGTCCATGACTCATCCTGTGTCAGCAGCAAATAGGAAAGCATTATGGTTTCCTAAAGGCAGCTGACACCAGGGGGCGATACCTTATGGGCCATAGGCATGTAAAATGTGTGTAAATGTCTCTTTCCTACCTGTATCAAAAGCAAACAAGGAAGCATCATAGGTAACTTGAATGCAGTTGATACCAGGGGACGATGCCTCAAGGATATAAGAGAACATTTGAATAAATAATATATCTTAACAATTATTTTTTTTTTTTAATCGGCTAGTATGTTAGTGATATTCAGATGAATATAATTTTCTATGTCCAATCAAATGTATATACACACATAGATTTCCTTTAACTAATCTTCACTAAGGAAGATGTTTGTATATAAAATTACATATTATTTTAAGTAACTCAACATTTTCTACACTAAATAACCAGATAATTTTGCTTTGACTGTTCATATGATTAAAATAAGAATTATATTGTGCAATACTAGCTAACATACAATTTCTATCATCCTCAAATTTGTTACAATCAAATAGAAAATGAGCCTCATCTTCGACAGTATTGGAAGAACATTTATTACATATTCTGTTAATTCGGGGAATACCCTGATATCTACCTAATTCTATTTGTAATCTATGAGAAGATACACGTAATTTAGTAAAACTTCTTCTAAGTTCAAAATTCTTGATCAATGTTAGATATTTTTCAAAACCAAAATTTGTTTTATATAAAAGGTAGGTTTTCAGTTTACTGTCTGAAAATTTATCTATTTGTTTTTTCCAACAGCTAATAAACAATATTGATAGCTTGGTTTGTATATATTTCTTAAATTTGTATAAGGATTCACAAAATGGAGCATTTATGGCATTTGTATAGTCAATACCATATACATTTATGTAGCCTTTTTCTATCAAACAAAATTATCAGGTTTTTTTTTCATACAGATCCTTTTACATATATATGTGTATATAATTTTGTTTATTCATAAAGAATCATGATAAATTTTACCACCTAGTATTAAAAGAACAAAATATAATTCCATATCCATTAAAAACTATCTCAGACAAAGCTCACTCATCATGTTCATAGATCAATATAACTTCAAAGTGAATCGTTAGACTTTTATTTTTAAAGAGATCCTGTTTTTGGTATTGAAAATTAAAAAAAAAAGGAATAAGCTGGATACATATTGTTAATAGATTTGAAACAAATAGGAAAGTCAAGGGTTGTTCTATTATCTTTAATTTGTAAATCTCTGTTTTTTCATCATTTTCTTTACAATTTTTGTACTTCACCTACTATACAATAATCATGCTTTACTTAATTGTTCATGTTGAACAGGCAATGAATTATATAGGTAAATATATCATGATAATACTGTGTTATTGTATTGACTTTTAGAAAGACCTGAAATATTTGTTTTGATTGATACAAAATAGTGCTTTATATAAATATATTCTGTTAATGTACCTGTATATGAGATATTTACACTCCCCTCGCAATGTCATCATGTCCAAAATGTAACAGGTAATGTAAGTTTGAATGTTGCATCTCAACATTGTAATGATATCAACCTTAACATGCTTTATGTAACATATAATGTTATTACATTCTTAATGTAACAGTTGACAACAATTACAAGTGACATATTCCCTTTGTAATGTACAAATGTAATGACTTCCTCATTGTTACAGTTTAAATAAATCTTATGTACCACCCTTTTTATACGCCCGTCAAATTTTTGATGGGACGTATTATGGTATACAAATGTCCGGCGTCCGTCCGTCTGTCTGTCCGTCCGTCCGTCTGTCTGTCCGTCTGTCTGTCCGGCGTAAACATGTTGCACCGTAACTTGAGAATGACTTATCCAAATTTCATGAAACTTAACATAGTTGTTTCTTATGATGGTCAAACGATCTGTATACTTTTTGGTGAAAATGAAATTAAAACTTTTTGAGTTACGGGACTTAGTAACTAAAACAGGTGTGTGTTTTTTTTCACATGTTGCACCGTATCTCAAAAACAATTTATGATTATTGCTTAAAACTTTACACACTTCTTAGTTATATTAATCTTAAGATCTGTATACTTTTTGGTGATGATTCAAAATTTTATTTTAGAGATATTGAGTATTTTGTTAAAAAAGGGGGAGGGGTTTTTCACATGTCGCGCCGTATCTCAAAAACAGTATATGATTATTGCTTAAAACTTTACACACTTCTTAGTTATATTAACCTTAAGATCTGTATACTTTTTGGTGATGATTCAAAATTTTATTTTTGAGTTATTGAGTATTTTGTAAAAAAAGGGGGAGGGGTTTTTCACATGTCGCGCCGTATCTCAAAAACAGTTTATGATTATTGCTTAAAACTTTACACACTTCTTAGTTATATTAATCTAAAGATCTGTATACTTTTTGGTTTTGATTCAAAATTTTACTTTTGAGATATTGATTTTTTTTTTTTAAAAGGGGGGTTTTCACATGTCGCGCTGTATCTCAAAAACGATTTATGACTTTTGCTGAAAACTTTACACACTTCTTAGTTATATTAATCTAAAGATCTGTATACTTTTTGGTTTTGATTCAAAATTTTATTTTAGAGATATTGAGTTTTTTGTAAAAAAAAAGGGGGTTTTCGCATGTCACGCCGTATGTCAGAAACTATTTATGCTTATTGCATAAAAATTTACACACAAGACGACGGGCGTATCATGCGCTCATGGCGCAGCTGTTTATTTTATAATGGTAGTGCATTTCCAATGTAACAGTTGATGTAAATCTTATGTAGCATCCCCCCTTATAATGTTACTTTGCCCTCATCAGTACAGAAATCAATCTTATGTATCCCCTTTAATAATGGTCGTACAAAATGTATATGCCTAATGTTACAGTTTAAATAATCTTATTCCCCCCCCCCCCTTTTATAATGGTAGTACAAAATGTATATGCCCAATGTTACAGTTTAAATAATCTTATTTACCCCCTTTTTATAATGGTAGTTCAAAATATATATGCCCAATGTTACAGTTGATAAACATCGTATGTAACACCTCTCCCCTTGTAATGTTATGATGACCTCGTTGTTTCAGTTTGAATAAATCTTATGTAGCCACCCATTTACAATGATGGGATATGACCAATGTAACAGTTGATATAAATCTTATGTTACACCTCCCCCCTTGTAATGTTATTATGCCCTCATTGTTACAGTTTACATACATCATATGTAACATCCCCTTGTAATGGTAGCATGTTCCCATTGTTGAAGTTATTATATATCTCTATTTTGTATGGTTGATTAATGTTAATGTTTATGTTATGAAAGTTTAAAATTAATTGCTTTTTGACTTGTTAGGTTGTCTTATTACCAAAATATTTAAATAGTGCAGTTTCCTATTTGTTTGGATATTTTGCTGCACAATTGGTGCATGTGAAATTAAATATCAGCAATGAAAAAAAAATCTAAATATTTTTCACATTAAATGAAATTTTGTTATTGTTTTTTCATATTAAGTTTTATAATCATGCAGTAAATTAGACACTTTTTCAAATACCATGTTAAAAGAAACCACATTTTGTCGTTTATAAAAGTTCAAAAGAGCTTAAGTAATTGTTTTGAGACATGCCGACTTTGAATAAGCCTTTTGATTTGAAAATTCACGGAAAGGAGAAGAAAATCTGACATAATTGTTGAAGTGTGTAGGTATTGAATAAGAGTGGAGATATGCTCAACAACAAATACTTTAAAAAGAGATTTCAAAACTTTGCCAAAAATCTCCATTGGGTACTAGACAGAAGCTGAGAGATCTAAGACTCTTCTATAATTAGAAATTTATTCTCTGCATGGCTTTTATTAACATTTTATAATCCAATTGGACAACAATGTTTGTTTGAAGTGTCATCATTTATGGTGTTTTTTAGAAATGGAAATAAATTAGTGCTATTTTGATTGTGCAGGACCTGAGAGCCATTGTGTTGCCCTGTATGTAATTTCAACGTTATTGAAGTGGAAAATTGGCACATTTTATTTGGAAATTTAAATTGAACATATTTGTGTAATGTCACAACATGTCAATCAAATATTGCATGGTATTTTCTGACTATTTGTAACTATAATGCTATTTTTCATCTGCTTGTATTTATACAGCATATTTATTTTAGTTATGTAATACACAATTGTTTATTGTTTTATGCTTTATTCATTAAATGATTTTAAATTAACTTATTATTACAGTCGTTACCTATTAAGAGGTTATGGAAAGTACATGGCCACCTATGCATTATATGTCAAAAGAACTTGAGGTGCATTTATGTTGGAACTGTTGATTTTTTTTAATGTTTATTTTATAAGTGAATGAAAGGAGGCGTGGGTTTATGTCAATGAGACAGCAACCTAATTACACAAAAAAGATAGTCTTATAGAGAAAGTACCCAAGTATTGTCACCTTAATGCACAGGATATATTACTATGCATGGTATAACTGCATTTTTTTGCACTTTTAGCTCATCTATCCACAGCTCAAG